ATTGAACTTAAAATTAGCCATATATAAGACATATTTCAATACCCTCTGTCTAACATAAACCAGGTCTATCACCACTATTTGTTAGCTTAGTAGTCTTTGTATTAAACAATTTTAAAATCAATGTAAACCTATCTAAATTATGATAATTTAATTTGTGGTCAGGATCTTTCTCTAATTTGCTTGGCAACACTGTAATAATATTAAAAAACTTTCTAGAGTTGAATACAGTATTACCAAACCATCCTAAAAATAAAATAAAATTCACTGTGTTCTATTTAAAAATCAAACATTTTTATTTGCCAGAAAAAAAACGCAACACCCTGTATATGTGTCTTTAACACAAATTAAAATATTGAACAATTACACACCCTGTATAAAATTTTATATACGACCGTTTTAATGATCGTTTATTAATAAATAACTATTTTTTTTACCCTTTTTCGCCTTTTGTGAGCAGGTTATCACAAAAGAAATTATTTTACCGCCCGACGGACGGTAAAGTAGTTCGCGGGCGACAGGGACACTTTACGCCCGCTAAACGTATTTATAATCTGGACTTTATCGCCCAGTCGTGCATAAAAGTTTATTAAATAGTTGGACATTAAAATACTTTTAAAAATAATAGTAAAATATTTGTAAGTCTATAAATTCGATAAAAACAATTGTAATAGAAGAATTCTATTACGACGGCGAAAGCTCGTATAAAAAGATGAAAAGAACATTATATGTGAAGTGTATGATTGGCCGAAACAAGACACTTCTCACAAATGAAGTCGTAGACCATTATTCTTTTTTAACTGGAGTAACTGTTTTAACAGTTGAATGCATTGTACGCGAAATTACAAATACAGACTCCTTACAAGCTCTTAATACCACCCGTGGTCGAAAGCAGCTAAAATTGGATGATAACAAATAATTCGAAGAACTGTACATTCTTTTTTTTTTAATAAAGTACAAATCCTTAACGCTCTTGTTGCGAAATTAGGAGAAAATGAGGAAGTTCCTTGAATCAGTCTAAAATTTTTATGGGGCCTGATGTCTCGTTTGGACACACAGTGTAGGAAATCATTTTTAATTGAGATATAGTGTCGTAACAATGGCGTTATTTACGAGGTATTTTACGAGTTTAGAGCCAATAAAAATATGCTATATCGATGAAAAGTGGGTGAATGCTGGACACACGGTGTCAAAAATATGGAAAGATATTTCTGTTACGAGTTATTGTCAAGCTTTTGTGAAGGGATTATCTCAGAGATAACAGAGATATAGCTATTCATTGATAAAATATAATATCCACGATACCAAGATTAAGTCGACAATCATAACACTCAATTTATAGGTCCGCGGTGAAAAGGCGAAAGGTGAGAAGTAAGATAGGAGATAAAAAGAAAGATTTTACGCAGATGCAACTTTATTTTATCAATGAATAAATGTTTAAGACAGGATGTAAGCGATGTGCGCTTATATTAAACAACGTAACCCTTTTGCCACTTCCAACTTACGATTGGTAGGTTTTGGAATTTATTGAAAATTATTACATTTAATTTAGTGAAATTACAGCTAATTTAGTTAAATTTGATATAACTAATGATTCAAAATTTTTTGGGTTGAGTTGCAATGTAATAGGTCGAATTATTTTAGCTTTTTTAATATATGTTAATAATTTTGTAAACAAAATAATGAAATAGGCATATGACAACAGCGGATATTATACCCGCCTGTGTCCCTTAGAATATGTCTTATTCAGGACCGCACGATATTTGTTAGTAGTTACATCTCCTGTTATCTCTGGATTATTTACAGGTTTAAAAGCACCATTAGGTAAAGGACAGTGCCTAACTGTTACCCATACTGGAAGTGACGGTAACTTTCTTTTTGAAAAACAGTACTATTGTATTTATATAAAAAAAAATCTGATGTGTCCAACACATGACTTTCCTATCTAGTTATATAAATGTTTAGAGGATAAACTAAATATATACATTGTCCACATATATCTACCTCGAAACATTTTTCTACAGATATTCATGGAAAACGAAAATACTGAAAAATTTTAATTTCCTACAATTTTTTCATTACGGTCCATTTTAGAAAAATCATGTATAAACAAAAATTATAGAGATCGATATCGCAAACAACTTTTATTTCAAAAACTTTCATAATAAAAATCAGAATTTTGCACATTTTGTCAAATTTCTCGAATACGGGCCGTTTCAGGAAATTTTTACATAAAACAAAAATTACAGATAATAATATTAGAAGTAACTTTTATTTGAACAATTTTCCTCTCCAAACATAAATAACAGATATATTCCATAAAATATAAAAACGGCCTCCCATAAAGTACCCCCCCAGATGTTCCGACTTTGTCCAAAATCTAATCATTTCACGTCAGGCCGAAATAAACCTTAAGTTTAAAATTTAATGTTTTTTTCTTTATCCGTTTTTGAGTTTTCTTCAAAATTCGAAATTTACACATTTTCTCAAATATCTCGAATACGGTCCATTTTAGAGAAATTATGTAGAGAATAAAAATTATAGAGAATTATATTACAAACAACTTTTATTTGAACAATTTTTATAAAAAAATATTTTTTTTACATTTTGTCAAATTTCTCGAATACGGACCATTTTAGGAAAATTTTGTATAGAACAATAATTATAGATAATAATATTAGAAGTAACTTTTATTTAAAGAATTTTCTTCTCCAAACGTAAATAACAGATATATTCCATAAAATATAAAAATGACCACCTATAAAGTACCCCCCCAAATGTTCCGACTCTGCCCAAAATCTAATCAGCTCATTAGACGCTGAAACAAAGCTTAAGTTTAAAATTTGGTGTTTTTCTGTGTATCGGTTCATGAGTTATGCGTTATACAGACACACACACAGACACACACACAGACACACACACACACACAGACATCATCGCGAAAATAGTCAAAACGGATTCAGGGGACCTCAAAACGTAAAAATCCGTCGAAAACTCGAGGTCGAAAAAAATCATGATTCCTATACTTTCCTTATATCTGTATTTATATAAAAAAAAATAGTAGACTACCATGAGGAAATGAATGCAGAATGCTTTAAAAAGTTGTTTACTGAAGTGTTACAACGTATGGAACTAAATTTAGTTATTGTACTAGAGAAAGCTACTTATCACAGCTGACGAGTTGTACTCATTCCGATTATGTTCAGTAGGAAAGCCGATATGTAAAGCTGGCTTTGGGATAAAACAACATTTACTAAGGATATGCTTAAAGTGGAATTAATGAACCTTAAATATATTTAATATATTGTCGACACAATGGTTCGTGATCGTAACATTACGTTACTAAGGCTACCCCCTTATCCCTGCTAATTCCATCCCATTGATCTACTTTGGGCGCAGGTGAAAGGGTTTGTGGCTCAAAAAAACAATACATTAAAATAGCAAACGTTCGATATTTATTAAAAACCGGTATAGAACGTATAAAACCTAAACGTAATTATGTGAGAAATATGATTCTACCAATCTAGGTTTTATGCTTTTTATACCGGTTTGTAATAAACTGCATTTTTTCACATAACAGGGAATGTAGAGATTTTTATGATAATACTGAAAACATGAAGCACTGGCATTTTTAAGCCTTCATGGCAACCTTTTAATATTTTTGGAGGGATGCTATCAGTACCTAAACCCTTTTTTGGTATGGAGAGATGCTATTAGTACCTAAACCCTTTTTCGGTTCCAACTTATTATTACTGTTAAATATTCAGATTCATTCATTGTATTTATTATCAAACTATTATTTAACCTGAATTAGGTACTTTTATATTTTAAGGCATATGTTGACCTATTTGATGAGTACTCAGTTGCAATATTTTTTGAAAAATATTTAGCGGTATCATTAGGCATAATTTCATTGTCATTGAGAATAAAACTGTCACTGCCTGTATTTTTACCTCTTATTTAAATATAATTCCAAAAAATATGAATATAAATATCTTCTATTCGTTTTTTACTTTAATTAACTCTTTTATTTCTGTATTGTACCATTTAGGATATTTATTATCGTGTTTATATAAACTAAATTTTGGTAGGTACATTAGTTAAAAATTAAAATATTATAGAAGAGATCTAATGTACCATTGACATTAGTTTGCACAGTTCATACAATAATTGAAAATTTGCTTTTTTAAAATTGTAGGAAAATTTTGTATATTATTCAAAGTTAGACATTTTAAATTAATTTAAATTTCTAAAGAGGGGCGACATACATCTTTTTTGTCACAGGAAATTCGGCTTTGTGAACATTACAACTGTTTTAGTCATAGGCAATTACTAGATCTAAAGTCTTCTCTTGAAAATTGTTAAATAATTGAAATAAATAAAAACTTTTTATTAGGTATGTCAATTGCCTCACTAGTGCCTCTGATTTCTCGTAAATTAAAATCACCGGTTATGTAAGCATTATTTACATATTCTATATTATCTTGTAAAAAACTGAAACAAGTTTCATACACTACAAGAGAACATTTTTTGTGGAATACCTATACAAACAGGCAACTGTCAATTTCATATGTTTCTCTTACTAAAAGCTTTAGATTACTATTAAATAGGCCAATTATAAAATTATAATTTATTTGCAAAGTTACAAAAAAAAAACATTCCAAACATAGTTAAAAACTCGATTATCTGGAAACAACAAATTTTCAGATAGAATCTTTTTTACTAAGACCGTAGAATAATACTAAAAAGATTTAATTAACAAAAATAAAACTTTAATGTAGATTAATACTCCTAAACACAAGTTTTTTTCTTATCTTTTTCATTTTAAATACCGCTCATAAATTATTTGTATTCAGTAAGCATGCAGAGATAAAAAAATAAACAGATCTCAAGTCATAAAGAACGATCAATATACTTTTACCCAAATTCGCCGCGATTATATCCAAAAATATTACCGCGATAAAAGCTCTAACACTGATTTAAACATTTGATAAGATACTCACACACGGTTTCGTAATAAAAATAACACCTCTATAAATGAATTTTAATAACACGAATATTTCTTGTTTTCTGTGACACGAATAATAGGGTGAAATCGTGTCGGCAGGGCAGACGTTTCGCTAGAGCGTCGGCGTCGGCGTCGAGGATGTTTGGGGATGTTTGGGGTTGCTTGGTGCCGATAGACGTCGTTGAACGCCCTAAGAGTCGAAGGGTCGCGGCGCATGCTCAAAACTACAACGTCCTTTGTGAGGATAATGACGCTTCGGACGTTGTTTTGATTCCGAACGAATTAAAAATGGGAAAACAAGGTAAATGGGGCAAAATTGGTGTTTTTTTTTATATCCACGGTTCTAATTATCCTATTAAATAAGCATACAGGAGATGCTTTAACTTTAAAGTCTTTTTAATATTTATGTTGATTTTCGCAAAGCCTTCTTGAAATAAATTTATAATCTAAAAAAATTGGAATCGTGTCCAAATTAATAAAAGAAACATCAATAAAAGTTAATTAATTAACAGATTATTGAACTTAATTGCACACAGATATAAGTCATATAAACTATTTCAAATAAGCAAGAAGATAGATCTAATAGAGAATTTATTGCGCATAAAAACCATTTAAAAACACTGATTAGAGAAACAAAAATTGACTTTCACACAAAAGTTATAGAAAATAATAAAGACAATTCTAGTAATCTCTGGAAAACTATAAATAAAATAAGTGGCATTATAAAAAAAAAACAAAAAAAACAAAAATGCAAATCTATAAACTGGACAACTCGAAAACAAATGTTGGATCAGAAACAGCAGATATATTTATCAATTATTATACCAGTCATCTAAATTCAAAACCAAACATGTCCATTAAAAAGAACTTTAGAGATATCACAAAAAACATTTACAGCATCTAATACTTCTAATAGAAAATATACAATCTAAAACATTATTTTGTAAGGTAATTTGTGCACTGAAAAACTGGTTCACGAAAATCTATTACGGTCTGTAATTATTTAAATTAAGATTAAAATTTGGACTTGTCGGGATTTGATTATTAATCGCGGTGACTTGTCGGGTTTTGACTATAAATTTTTATTTAGATTTACGTTAATTGGTATAACACAAACAATTTTGGCAATTCTTTATTATATGTATTTAAACTAACTAGAATTACAAAATTCAAAAATTTTAAATATCAAAATCTAAAGTTTTTTTTAAACAAAACAACTCTGTACTAGCCTCGGTGCCATTTTCTGAGGCTAATGTGGATGAGGCAGGAACCGCATCGAAGATATTCTTGAAAAACGACAAAGCGTCATCATTTCGCCACTCACTTATATAATGTTTTTTCAGTCAAATTACTGATACTCTTCTTTTTATCTGGTTTCAACGGCATTACAATATCTACAGTGCTTGGTTTAATTTGCAACTTTCTTCCTCTTCTTAGCAGCGATTGGTTTGTACCCATATCATTCCTACAGAAACTCTCTCTTACTGCATAACCGGTTTTCGTTTTGGAAATTATAATGCGTTTGGCCATTGGCAATTTAAAATACCACTGCGCTGGTGGTTTCATAACTATCTGGACTTTCGACTTCCAGTCCTGTACTAGAACATTAACTCCCAACCTGTAGACACTTTCCCACTTCTCTAGTATTTTGATGTATTGTTCTGGACTCGTAATTCTGGTGTATTTTTAATAACTTTCTCAATTTGTCTAAAAAGTCTACCTGGAGAAATATAGAAATGACCTACAACCGGAAAAACTATTTCAATTCTTTCTATGCTAGGTGAACTGAAATTCAACAACCAATTGGATAACATCCCAATGATAATGGAGTTCTTATTTTGTGCACTGCAGCCATCACAAAAAAGGCGGACAACTTTTCTGCAGTCATTAAACTGAAATGTTATAAGTAGAGCTAGGAATATATGCAAAACGCCATATTTTGCATATGTTGCATATATATACAATTTTTGATTTTGAATGCATATATTGACATTTTGTTAATTTTTTGGCATATATCTGAGGTACTAATTGGCTGGCCATATTAAAATTATGAGTTTTGGACCAAAATAATATTTTGTGAAATGCTTTTACAGGTCGATTTCCTAAAATGTTGAAGGATTAACTTTTCCCTGTAATAAATTACGGTTAATGGTGTAGGTACTTGAGAGGATTAAATTATAAACACCCTCCTTAAACCAACAAATTTTGCTAAATATCCTTTCAGGTAGTTGTATTAATATCTTCAAATTTCTAAATGACTCAGTTTACTTTCAACTTCATTTCAGTCTTTATTGTTGTGTTGTGTTAACCAGTGGGAAAAAGAAAAATTAATTGAGTCGTGGGTAAAATCTTATTCAGTTTTTGTTGTAGAAGGTGATAACCAGGTGTTTTGTAAAACATGTTCTAAAATTGTAAGTACTTTTTTATTTTATATTTTATTTTGACCTTTCACAATGGTAAATCAAACGACAATAAAATATTATTTCAACTCACAGTTAAAAAAAAAGTAGGGCAACTTTACAACTTACGCATTTATTTAATTTAATTAAAACTTAAACATCTACAGGAATTTATTTGTTTTAGATTCCATGTAAAAAAAAGTTTCAAATCGACCAACACGCAAAAACACCCTCACATATAGCAAAGCAGAAATCTAAAGACACTCGCAGACAAAGTCAACTTCCCTTGAAACAATATTTAGAATCTGGATCGTCTAGAAGTGAACAAGCTATTTTTAATGAAGATTTATGCAAAGCTTTAGTGACTTCGAATATCCCTTTAATACGATTAAATAATCCAAATCTCCGATCATTTTTGCAAAAATACTGTAAATTTAATATTCCAGAGCAAAGTATATTACGCAAACGTGGTGTTGACAGTTTGTACATTGAGACTCGTGAAAAAATTCGTGAGATTACCGTTGGAAACCATTATTAAACCATTAATAAATTATTTCGATCAAATAACAAATTACTCTTATTGCATATGCTCTGCATATTTTTAAATTTTTTACGCATATATTGAAGTATTTTGCGGCATATATATGCGCATATTTTACTTTTTGGGTGCATATATTCCTAGGTCTAGTTATAAGAGTATGGTGAACAGTTGATGATATTTCGTTGGACCCCCTTTGATGATCTAGTTCAGTCCATACATATGACTTAACTGAAGTTGGAATTATCTTTCCTTTAGAAGTCACGGCACAATTGCAAAGTGATAGAAATTCAGCTGCATACTAAAACATGCAGCTTGATATGCGATTTTTGGCAGAGCCAGGTTTTTTGGCAATCAAAGCTAAATGTAACTACCTCCTGATCATCATGGACTTCTTCAAAAGCTTATAGAAGCAATTTGCTTAAATTTTGTGAGCTCTCTGTTGAGAAATTAATAAATTTTTGTGTTATTTTCTAACGTCTACTTTATTTGATTCTTAAATTGGAGGCAAGTTGAACACAAGTTAGTTTTAGGAGTACCAAAACCAACATTGTATTTTTGTGAAAAGAAATATCTAAAAAACGACTCCTTGACCTGAAAGTGTTTGTCAACGCCATTGTTAAACATTCTCCAAAGTTGTCTTATACTTAGTTCCGCCGGCAAGTAAAATCTATTGAATGTCTTAGATCGGCAATAGTGAGACTCTTTACACCTTAGTAAGTCAACAAATTTTTTTATGGCCGCTCGCTTCCTGTCATTTTTATATTTTTTTAGATTTTCTCCACGTTGTTCTTTGGGAATTTCATTACTTTGCTTATAACGTTTCACTATATTTAAGATTATGTCTTTTTTCACTCCCAAAATACCCATAAAACTTTGCCTACATATATTAATCATTACCTCATCTCTTCTTTTGACATGGTTCTTCACTGACGTAGATTTCGGCTTATTCTTTTCTTGTCTTCGTTTTATTGGTCTTTTTGGGTCAGAAACACTGCAGTGCTTCAATATAAATATTTAACATCTTTCATGGTAAGGTAAGCAATGATACACATTGAAAGGGCTGGTATGGCTTACCTGCATGTCCACCTTTTGGAAACATTGGCAGTTACTTTGCAGAATACCTAGAAAACAATTAAAAGTAAATTACAATTACAACTATATAACTTCTACTTTCATCTTACCTATTACGTTTTGCTATTTCCCGTTTATATGGCGTTTTAACTCTCTTTCGAGATTTATTATCTTTCGATGGTTGAATATTTTTTGAACAATTCAATTTACTCATATTTAATACTGAAATACTAATGACCTAGGTGACATAAATTTAGCTTTAAGACTGAAAACACAAACAAACGAAAAGTTAAGACGCAAAACCTCGTGAAAAACACGTGATTACCAGACTCGATTCTTATTGGGCGACATGAAAAAGTCGGTTTTTGAATTTGAACGAAATGTGGACATGTCGGCTTTTGCATATTAAGGGTATTTTCTATACTAAAAATAGCATGTAAGAAGTCGGTATTTGCACCAAAAATGTATAGTTGTTTTTAGTCCTTTAGATAAAGAATACAATGGTGTATAAAACTGAAATTCCAAAAAAATGTGACTTGTCGATTTTTGTATTAAGCCGACTGAATTACAAATGTTTATAAATTAGAAAGCACCAGGGATAGATTGTTAAAATGTTAAAAAATTAAAAATAAAAATAATAACGGCATTAACTCACCTCTAGTTTTTCATTAGAAGAATATAAAATTGCAATAGATAAGCGTCTGTACAAAAATGGTGATAAATCTAAATCATTCATTTTCACTTGACAACAATTTTACAAAATTAAAACAAAAAAGAAAATAATATACTTGAATCTAGTTTAAACAAAAATAACATAATTTCATAAAGCAATTCGGCTTTCAAAGTAACAAATTAAATAGAATGTTTCTATGAACAAATTGACGAAGTCGCCATGGGCAGTCCACTCAGTCCAATTGTGGCCAATTTTTACATGGTCAAATTTGAAAAATAACCAAAGCATTGGCTGAGGTATGTAGACGACACATTTGTAATCTGGAGCTACAGGAGAAAAGACCTCCGGAATTTCCTAAACCATTTGAATAATTTTCATCCCAAGGCCCAGTTCACCATGAAAATAGAAGAAAACCGTCAAATTCCTTTCCTAGATGTGTTAGTCAGCCAAGAAGA